GGTGGATTTTATAAGTACTAATTGTCATAAATTCTACATCTGGAGCAATTCAAGATCATATTCATTATGTTTCCATGTGAATTCTACCACTATTTCATACCATTTCTTGATCCGAAGGATACAAAATATGGTAAGCATGCACCACACGCTCAGTTGGCATTTGGTTGAATGAAAGTGGCCAGCTTAGGAACTGTTTTTTTGCACAAAATGAAGTGATAAGGAACATTTAAATGCTAGCTGCTAATTTGCTTACTTCCTCACATTTGTAAGCTGTTGACGAGGATTATTGATGAGAAACTAACAAGAGTAGGAATCTCTTGATGAGGAACAGCTGAGACAATAAGCTGTATTCAGCAGTAATTATAGCAAAATGAAGTATTTTTTTAACTAACCAAAAGGGTTAGTCAGACTACAAAGCACTGTATTTTTGATGCAACAGAAATGACCAGGTAAGAATATAGCAATTAATATCCAGGTAGCGACACACCTGGCTTGCCAATATGATTATGCGTTTTTGTATGATTTCATTCTGTAGAGAGAACGCCTGTAGTATCGGAGTGTAATTGAGATGTTGCAGTTTGATCATTTGAAGCGCCCATACATAGAACCCATGCCTAGGCAGAGGCTAATCTTAAGCGACAGTGTACACTTCTGCATACGCACAATGTACAAAAACGCATAAGAAAGATTAAATGATAGTTTAGGCAGCCTGGCATAGCCAAGATAGTCGTTTCGAAAGGCTTTGCACAAGCAATGAAGAAATTTCAGTCTTTTTTTTGCACTGACGATTTATAATTCCAAAAGACTAAGTTTGTGGTCCAAAACACCCAGTCGTTGATGTTGTTTAGTGTCTGCCATACGGCAGAACTCTCCAAAATTTTGCGTACCACATCGAGAAACTGCGCTACTTCGAAGGGTACTGGGGCAAGGAAATAACTTGCCTTAGGCAGCGTTCGGCGACGTATTTGTGCTCGAATGGGGAAATTGGGAGTGCACAAGTAAATCCAGAAAATGACTTTGGTCAGTTTGTAAAATTGCAACACATATTAGAATGTTTCTTTCTCTGGCGCAAAAGCCAGCAGCAATGCATTT